TACTCGGCTTTTATGGTGAAACTTTATCGTATATCTTAGTTAATGACCTTTATAGCGAGACACTATTCATTACCTAAGTTTAACCACTTAGTATACCCTCTCGGCTATAACCGTTAATCTTCAGAGCGAGATACGTATGTATAGTTCTCTATGGGTTGACACCCTCACCTACGGTTGCTAGCTACAACCTCGACGGATCAATCGAAGCTAGTGTTAATTAGTTTTAGTCTTTATCCACGACGTCTAATGAAGCTTCGTAAGGGTTTATATCTAATCATATAGCTCGGTTATAGGAATCACTATAAGCATTAACTGGATTATTTATCTAGAAACCACGGATTCGGTTTCTCTTTTATCAAACATTTTCAAACATGGTTTTAACTACAAAAGAAATACTTTTCAGACTTTGTAAAAGTTTTATTACTGCGGTTAGCAGAAAACCTGTAACTCTCATCAACCTTTGTGTTGACTCTCAAACTACATGCATTCTCAGGAGATCATTGAACCGACTTTTAGCAGAAGAGATATTCATGGATTTCGGGCAATCTAGTATTCTCTAGTTTTTGTTATATCGATCTATTTGTTAAGACAAATTAATGAACTTATTATTATTATTTGTATGAACCATGTATTCAAACCTTAAAGTGGAATATAACTATTGTGTTGTTATTATTGTAACTTGTGATGTATATTCAATTTGATTGTGATCCGTGAACTAAGCCGCACAGTCCGGCATGTTCCGCCGCCTCGGCCTAGGGTACATTTTATTACAACCGACTTTATATCTTTCAATTTTTATAGAACAATATTTTTATGTTTTTATATCATTTTAGACCATTATGATTAACCGATATTAACCATTAACCATAATTATTAACAAAATAAAATTGTTAACCAAAATCAATATTAACCATTATCCAATTGTTATCAAAATACATTAACTAATTGTAATGGTCATGGTTCGATTTTGACTAATAACCGAGCAAAACCGTCTCATACACATCTCTTTAAATAGATAATTAAATAATCAACATTGATGTATTAAAAAAAAATCAAACATGGAAAATACTTGACCAGCTGGCACATTTACTTTTTTGTTTTTTTCTAATCTTTTATATGAATTTTACTAATTTACATCTCTATATATTGATGTTTAAAATCAAGTATTCGAAAATATGTTTGGATTGGTTAGTCGATATTTAAACTAAATAATTAAAATTCAAAAATAATATAGTTCGATTATAACTTTTAAAGTGAAAACTTAAAACAGATCCAAATTAATATATAGGCAGTCAAGACTCAAGAGAGTGAGATTGAATCGAAACTATAACACAAGTTTAGATGGAATCCATACCCGAACCCGATGCCTAAATTGGAATGTGAGAACAGAAAAGTGCATAGGATTCATCAAAACTTAAAAAAAAATTATTATTATTTAATTATTGAAAGAGTATCCAAGGGGGAGCACAACATGGTTGCATGTTCCAGATGTACACGTGGCAGTATCCTCGTGGGGCTTGTGCTGCTGCCCCCATGTCTCTGTGCATGTACCGACGTTAATTTGTCTTCTTTTTCTTTGTTTTCTTAGTTTTATGCAAATTAAATTACTTTTTTTAGTCTGTGTTTATTTAACTCTAAATTGGGATGAATTTATTTGCAACATGAGTTAGTATGGTAATGTACATATGGCTATGTTTTTATTCAATAATTTTTATTAAGTTTTAACCTTTTAATAATTTATCTTTATTTATAAAATAACATTTATTGTTATTTTCTTAAATATTTTTTAAATATAATCTATCTAAACTAACGAGCTTTTTTTTTTTTGAAACTACAAACGGATTAAGTGCAAGCCTACTCGTAATATTTCAACGAGCATCCCGGGTTCGAGCTCTTTTACAGAGCAAACCCAACCCCCATAGAGATTTTCAGGGAAAAATTTCTCACATGTAACATCTCAAGAGATAGTTTAAGGGAATCAAACTCACAATCTCACGCCCCACATGAGTATAAAACCCGGTGCATCAACTCATCTAAGTTGGACATCACTTGCAACGAGCTTATTACATATAAATAAATGGAACAATGTTTAAATGTGTGTTTATTAGGAAGTCCGATCAAGGTCATGTGTGTGTTGCACCACAAAGGCAAGGCCCGTGAAGTTGTTACATGTCAATGGCTATAATAAGGATAATGACTTAAAAGGGTAATATATTTTTCGATTTGTACACATTTGGTCATTGAGTTTTTTTTTTCGTCCACATTTACCCCTTCAACTTGTTAAACTATACACATTTAGTCCTTGTGACCGGTTACTCCAGATTTGCCGGGAAAAATGACTTAATAGGGTAATATATTTCTCAATTTGTACATATTTAGTCCTTAATATTTTTGTACATATTTAGTCCTTAATATTTTTTTTTGTTTCAAAATAAGTCATTTTTGTTTCAAAATAAATCATTTTTGTTTCTGTAATCATTCAGTACTTATGAATGATTTCTTCAGGTTTTTCTCACACCATCTTACATGGGACAATCATTGATGAAGTGTGTGGGGTTGTTAATGTTTATATGTAACGTCTCATTTTCACAACTAAAAATTTTCATTTTTAAATAAGACAAAAGTCCCTAATTATAAATCTATTATTAAGAAAAAAAGTTTATTCCAAAATACATTTACCGAAAATCAGAGTAATATAAGAAACGCGGAATCCTCAATATTGTTGATGAGTGTGTAAAGTCATGTATTCGCCTTCTCACGATCAACGATATAACCTAAAAACATAAACAACTGGGTAAGCATAAAGTTTAGTGAGTTTCCCCCAAAACACTCGATACGACAAATATATTATCATGAATAACGAGCACACACTCATCAGATTGGAATACCTTGGCCCAATCAGTCATCGGACTGGAATGCCAACATGCAATAGGTCTAATCGGTCATCAGACTAGAATACCCAGGTCGGCATGCCGCCTTAACCCAACCGCTCTTATCAAGCCTCCGTGCCTACGGCTTACAACCGACCCGCACCAGCTATCTTGGCATACATCATATAGTAGGACCACCTCAACCTATCTCAACACCATATCGCTATCCCATGTAATATGCCGTGAGAAACACCTGAAGAAATCATTCATAAGTACTGAATGATTACAAAAACAAAAATGACTTATTTTGCAACAAAAATAATATTAAGGACTAAATGTGTATAAAAATATTAAGGACTAAATGTGTACAAAATGAGAAATATATTACCCTATTAAGTCATTTTTCCCGGCTAATCTGGAGTAACCGGTCATAAGGACTAAATGTGTACAGTTTAACAAGTTGAAGGGGTAAATGTGAACGAAAAAAAAAAATCAGTGACTAAATGTATACAAATCAAAAAATACATTACCCTTTTAAGTCATTATCCCGGCTATAATAAGTATTGTATTCACCATTAAAAATGACAGATTATGCAACACCTGCCAAGAATAACTAGAATAACAAAAGTTTGCTAGATGGGAAAAAAATCGATAAAATGGCAGATTATACATCAAAGTTTTTTTTTTTTTTTTTTTTTTTAGTATCAACTTATAGCTACTCTTTTTAGTAACGGGATCTAGAGATTGTAAATCCCAAATTTTAAAAACTATTGTAATATATACTTATATAACATTTATTAAGTAAAACATTTTTTCAAAGTTATATTCATAGAATATATATGGATGAAAACCATTTTAACACGTCTTCTTGTTGTTAGGGTCTAAACAAATAGTATAAGAACCATTAAAATCTCACTATACATTATAAAACTAACATACAAAAAAGCAAAATACATATCTAACATTTAGAGAGCCCCTACATATACTCATAAACTGTTAGAAATTCAGGGTTTGAGAGATAACTTGGAATTCTGAGAATTGTGTAATCATTTTCAAATTGAAGTATTTCAGTGGTATTCCTGAAATCAACAATTAGATAATACTCAGAAGAGATGTAAAAACAGAGAGTGAAATTGTTATGATTTTCTTGTGTACCATAAAAATGACCAAAAAACAGTTATACAATCTATTTCTGAAAACTATCATGAAATTGCCACAAGGCAGTTTCCAAACTATCTCTAAACTATCAACATAAAAGTCAAAACGAGGTTAACTTTAAAAACAAATTTATGATGCATTTTTAATAAAACAATATAACCCAAATAAAAAAAATTCCAAGCTCGACACCAACCAAGGGAGCTGCCCCTTGGACCCCGCTACTAGGAGCAGCGTGACGTTGCTCCCAGACCCGGTTCGTTCAAGGGATCCGCCCCTAAATGATAGTATATTTTGAATATTGATCTCACTTGCTTGTTTAATGTTAATCAAGATTATATTTGATCAACAAATTAATCCATTACATTTAAATACACATCGATAATACAAATCACCAACATAAATTAACATCTTCAATCATTTTTCAAAAATATCATCAAATCTCTAGAACTTCAAGTGACGAACTGACAATACGCATAACCCCCTCCATCTTTTTCTTTCTAACATTCCGAATCATAATAAACAGATTGAAACACATCAATCTATTTAACCAATCAAACGTAATAAATGATTCTTCAAGGACTAAAAATTTAATAGTAAAAATCAAAAGCCGACAACGATATCTATTCACAAACTACATTTTCATCCGTTGTAAAGATAAACATTAAATCTCTAGAACCATAATAATCAAGATTTAAAACATTTCTAAATAGCAACTTGATCACCGATACCAACAAATAACTCTTCAATTACTAAAAGTGTAATAGTCGAAATAACAAAATTGTGGATAATTGAATATCCAGGCACCATTATTGTAATGCACTGTTTACTCAGTTTTAAAAATTTACGTTAAACCCCTCATACTTCAAGTTTTCATACAAATTACATCCCACATCTTTCTCTCTCAAGCGTTGACCGTACAATTATGCGTATAATACACATACTAATATTGTACTAATAGTGTCTTCAGTGAGTGTGAGAGAGAAAAAAAAAAGAATCACTTTCCCAAGAAATCTCTCTCAGATTCTTTTTTTTGCTTAATCTTGTTTTCTCTGTGTTCGGAGCTCCATTCTCACGGCCACCGGTTCTTTGCAACCTTCTTTCACGTAGTAATAGGTTTTAAAAGCTTTACTGATGGCTGAATATTGCCGGAAAAGATGAAGATCACCGGAAAAACGGATCTACCGGCTATTCTATCGTCAAAAGCTCTAAACTTCACCCCAGATTCGGATCTTTTACATAAACCTATTTCGAGGAAACAAGTAAGTCGAAAATCGCGGAACCCCGGTAGTGGGGTGCGGTTGAAGAGGGATGGACTTCGGGCATCCGGGAAAAGGGGTTCTAGACCGGAGACTCCGTTGCTCCGATGGAAGTTTAATGAGGCTAAACAAGAGGAGGAGGATAAGGATGCTGAGGTTGAAAGCGAAAAGCTGCCTGATTCTGGTCGAAAAAATGGTCTGAAAGCGAGGAGAGGGAAAGATGTGACAACCGTGTCGGCGAGGAAGTTAGCCGCCGGATTGTGGCGGTTGCAACTGCCGGATGTTCGTGTTAACCACGGCGGCGAGTTATGTAACGTTCCGAAGAGTAATGGGGTTGTGTTTCAGGTAAATAAATCATTTTCCAATTTTCTAGGGTTTTGCAGTGTGAATCAATTTATCTGTTCTTGATCTATTTACAAACCCTAATCAAATATTTCTGCAATAATGGTTATTTCATAGTTGAAACACTGAATCAATCCCTGTTTATGTGAACATTCAAATGCTTTTAGCCTTTTTATTCAAAATTTCCCCAAATTCAATGCCGTTTGGGGATTTTTTTTGAGGTCTTTAAGTGATGAATAAAATCTGACCATAAATTACGTTTTCTTCTTGATAAATTCTTCACTTTTTTCGTTCTTTCATATGCAGCCTGCAATTGATCATTCTGGGATCCATTCTCCTGCTCGTCATATGAGGAAATCATTCGATTCTCAAATGAAAGAAGTACCACAGAGCCCTAATTCCGTTACTGGATCCAGAAATAAGTTTCTTCACAAGGTAATCACTCATGAAACTTGCTTGAAGTTGCTAGTAGTAATATAAAAGTAATTGGATGTGTGTTTTGTAAATGATATAAACCAATAGAGCTAGAATGTTATATTTCATCAACATTCCAAGTGTGCGGGGTGTTTGAATGTGCTTTTTTAAAAGTAATTATCTCAACATGAAGATTTTGAAGAAGATAATCAGATGATTAAAACTAAGGTCAGGTAGGTAATTTTACATGGGTTAAATGCAAGATATATCAACATTCTATCATATATCTATTAATTATAGCATCCTGCATCCTACTTTCATTTAGTTCTATTACAACATTGTATTTCGAAAAATCTGTCCAATTACAACAATGTCATCCAATTCCAAAACAATTTTCATTGATATAATTTCTCTAAATTTGGTTTACTTTTGTATAAATTTATAATCTGGGCTCTACTTTCATGATCTTTATAGCTTGAACCAACTTTCCACTTTTCAAACTCTGCTATGGAGGGTGCAACAAAGTGGGACCCAGCTTCATGGAAGGCATCAGAAGACGTGAGACGAATCTTCAGTGAATCAAAGCATCTAGAAGAACAAGTAGGTGTCGTGTCAATGGTATCAACACTTCAATCAGAACTCGAACAATCTCGATCCCGTATTCATGATCTCGAAAACGAACGAAGATCATCAAAGAAAAAACTCGAACAATTCTTAAAAAAACTAAACGAAGAACGTGCAACATGGAGAAGCAGAGAACACGAGAAGATCCGTGCAGTGATCGAAGATATAAAAGGCGAATTGAATAGAGAGAGAAAAAACAGACAACGAATGGAGATTGTGAATTCAAAATTGGTAAACGAGTTAGCAGATGTGAAATTGTCTGCTAAAAGATATATGCAGGATTATGAGAAGGAAAGGAAAGCAAGAGAGTTGATAGAGGAAGTATGCGATGAACTTGCTAAAGAAATTGGAGAAGATAAAGCGGAGGTTGAAGCTTTGAAAAGGGAATCCATGAAAATGAGGGAAGAAGTTGACGATGAGAGAAAGATGTTACAAATGGCAGAAGTTTGGCGGGAAGAGCGCGTGCAAATGAAGCTTATTGATGCTAAAGTAGCACTCGAGGACAAATATTCTCAAATGAAGAAGTTAGTTTCGGATCTTGAAGATTTTTTGAACTCAAAGAATCTTGATGAAGAAGAAGTAAAACGAGCCGAAATCCTTAAAGAAACGGCGGATTCGGTTAATATTCAAGAAATCAGTGAGTTTAAGTATGAAAAACCGAACCCGGATGACATATATTCGGTTTTTGAAGAGGTAAGTTTCGGGGACATGAATGGAAACGAGATCGAACATAGACATTCTTCTGGTTATTTTGACCAAAATGGTCTTAAAGAAGATGAAGATGAAGATGATGATGATGATGATGATGATGATGATGGTGAAGATGATGATGAAAGCGGGTGGGAGACTGTAAGCCATTTGGAAGATCAAGGGTCGAATTATTCACCCAATAGGAGCAATCCATCTGTCACCAACAACAATAACAACAATAGAGAATGGGAAGAAAATGACGAGACAACAATTACCGAAATCACGGAAGTGTGTCCTGTACCGAGTAAAAACTCGAAAAAGCCCTCATCAATCTCGCGGCTTTGGCGATCATCGTACTCGAGTAACGGTGGTGATAATTGTAAGATGATACCGATTGATGGTCGGTTATCAAACGGGACCCACCTCTCGAGCGGTGTGGGTGCGGGGCTTTCACCGGACCGCAGCTCGGGGGTGAGTCTGTCTGAGTGGAGCTCACCGGGGTCAAACGGTCACATGACGAAAGGTGGGATGAAAGGAGGGTGCATTGAATGGCCACGTGGGGTTATGCAGAAGAACAGTTTGAAAGCAAAGCTTTTGGAGGCCAGAATGGAGAGTCAAAAGGTACAGTTGAGACAGGTGTTGAAGCAGAAGATATGAAAGTGAATAAAAATGTGTAACACTTTTCATGTGCTCGTGGGTGGGGTTACAACTTTGATGGAGGACTGGATTAACAAACGTGGTTTGGAATGAGTTTTAGGTCCTTTCTTGGAGGTGATTTGAGAGTACAATTTTCGACCATTTTGTTAATTGATGTTGAGAAAGGAAGGTGCAATTGCAATATTAATGTTTTTTTTATGTTGTAGGATGGATTATAATGAATGTGACATATGAAATGAAAATGGGACCATGTTTTTGGACTCTTTTTATGGCCTTAATAGATCCGCCCCTTTCATGTATTGTCTTTGTGTAGAATAAATGAATAATGGTTGATGAAAATGAAAAATGGTTGAGGTGGTCCGTATCTAGAATGAATCCGACCCAAAAAAAAAGTAAAAAACAGTCGACAGTTAGGGCCTTTGGGGGAAAAGGCTAGAACCACTTAAAGATTTGACATGTCATAGGTGTACAAAAGGCTACAAAGGACCACTTCAACACATGATGTGTACGGGCTTACTACCGTTCATAGTTCCTACTTCCTATATATTATATTTTTTTCAAAGAGATTCACAAAAATCAGGTGACATGTGAGAAAATAGTTTTTATTTTTTTTTGGGGTTTTTATACAACATAATTACTAATTTTGTGTTATGAAATGGTTTCTACAACAAAGAACTTAAAAAGGAGGAAAAGAATTTGGATGAGAAAACTATGTATCATTTCACGAAATCTCACCTTCTGTTTCAAAATATATTGTTTATAAAGTAAAAATTTTAATAATCTTAAATATTGAGCTTTTCTGGTACAACCTTAATTTTCTTTTTCTTAAAAGGGACTTCGTATTTTTTTTCTTTCTCAATTCGACTATTTTAGCGGGTTTAATTTTCAGGTTTTAGACTTGAAAGAATTTCGGAAAAACCCTCTAACTTTTTTTTTCCTGAAAAAACTCACATTTGACAAACTGTTTACCAACTTTTTCGTTTTCACTCATAGATCACATGTTTTTCTTGTTGCAACGTGTTTTTGATGGTTTTTAACATTAAAATCTGAAAAAACATGATATTTTTTTTAAAACAAAGAGAAATACATATGTCCAATTTCTTGTTGGCAAAATGTCAAATCATAGTGTATTTGTAGGATGCTCAAAGATTGTAGCTTGTTAAAACAGTTTGTCAAGTCAACCTAAATGGTAGTTACAAACTACTTTTTTTTTGAAAAAAAAAAGATCATTTTTTTTTTAGAATTTTTTTTTTAGATTTTAATATTACAAACTATCAAAAACACTATAAAGGGTAGCAACAAAAAAATATGTGAATTATGAGCCAAAACAAAAAATTAGTGCAAAAGGAAAAAAATTTGTCAAATGTGAGCAATTTTTTTTAGAAAAAAAAAAAAGAAGATAGGGTTTTTTTTCAGAATTTTTTTGTCTAAAACCAGAATTGTCTGTATACTTGCTAAAAGAGCCAAATTGAAGAAAAAAAATGCAAAGTGCTTTTTAAGGGAAAAAATCAAGATTTAATCCCAAAAAAAACTCAATATATAAGTTCTTTATATTATTAACCTTTTTTCTAAATGTTAAAAAGTATTTTTATTTTCTAATATTAGAAGTTTAGATTAAAATCATGGAAAATTGACAACCACATTACAATTTTCTCTATTATATACTTAGGTGGTGTTTGTTTTTTGTCTGCAGATCTGCGTGGCCTCTTCTGTCTGGGCCGCACAGACCACGCGCAGACATTAGCATTGGCAGACTGTTTGTTTTTTTTAAGACTGCAGACCTAAAAATGTCTGCGCGCCCTCTTCTTGGCGCAGATGTGGGCCATAGTCTTCTAACATCTTCTAGCTTTAAAAAAACACATATATCTTCATTTTTTTAAGTTTTTTTTTATTTATATTTTTTCCAACTTTATTAATGATAAACAATTTGAAAAAAAATTACAAAACTTAAAAAAAAAAAAAAAAAAAAAAACGTTCGACGATACAAACATGATATTTTTGACAAATTTATAAATAAAGTTTTATTACAATAGTAGTCGTTGAAGTTGTTTATATAAATATGAAAAAAAAATCATAATATATTCTTATATTTTTTTGCCAAATTTTGTAAAACATTATTTAATACAGTATCGTCAATTTCCCGAGAAAATATTTATGGTACGTTTTTAATGGATTTAATTGAAAAAATCGAAGTTTATTTCCATCCATTTATGTATCAAATTCTTTGATTCCTAATTATAATGTTTAGTTATAACTTTGCAACCAAAGTTGTTGGTTTTTATCAAATATATACGTTAATTCATACCATTTTTATTTTTATTTTTATACAATAATAGATAAAAGTTGATCTAGATTTGTTAATTATTTATAACAAAGTCATAAAAATATTAAAAAATCACTTTGAAGTTTAAAAAATTCAGTTCATTTAGATTTCAGTTTATTTTAGTAGCCCGCAGATGTTAAAAAAACAAACAGTCTTCTTTTTTCAGACTGCAGACGTTTGGTCCACCTCTTCTACTGCAGATGTCTACAAATGTGGTCCGCAGACTGCAGACATTTTTGTATCAGAAAAAACAAACAGCATCTTAGAGTTGATTAGTTTGAGCCAATACATATGTAAAGTTTTTAATATGTAAAGTTTTTAACAGTTATTTCTTATAACTTTTTAAGAAAAAAAAGGAAAAAGAAAAAGAAGACGACAAAACTTGATTATCTTATCTGGTTCTCTTGAAAAAAAAAAGGAATAAAAACTGATGATTTTGAATTTCCGTCAAAGGGAAATGTGTAAAAAGCTTCACTTTTAGCCATGCAACATTTGACAACTGTTAAAACTCAGAAGATATAAATCAACCGTCAAACGGGATGGTCGGTTTCATCATTATAAGATTTTATAAAATGTGTCTCCAAAATAAGAAGGAAAGATTTGAAGAGTTGATTAAAAATTCTGTGTTTTAAGCTACATAAATAATGACATCATCAAAGAAACCAACAATTGCAGAGAATATGATACAAAGTTTTACAACATTTTCTTAATCAACAACACAAACTTATTGGTACCACACACTTGAAGAGTTGATTGATTTAAATAATAAAAAATAAAAAAAAAAAAAAAAAAAAACTTGTTTTCTTCATTTATATTCTTGAAAGTTTACATGCCCTGTTGCTTGTGCATGTTCTACAGCTTCCTGTGCATTGTTAGAATACAAGAAGAGCAAAATGTAAAGAAAAGTTTTCATTAATTAACACAACCATTTGTTGTTTAAATGTTTTTACCTTTTGACCAATGACACCAATTTGGCAAACCCCACAACGCAATGTGAAGTTGGCAGTGTCTGTATAACTCCGTTTCCTATAAAGTACATTCAAAAAAAAAAAATCAACCACTCTTGTTCTCTTTCTAAAACAAAAAGAAGTTTTATGAATGAATCCCACAACACATGTATGTACCTTTGTTGATCTTTTACAAGATTTAGAGCAAGTGATTCATATGATCCAATGGTCCTATCTGGATTTACACTAAAAATCGTCTGATCAAACTCTTCAGGAGCTCCATCCGCAGGGGACATCTATTCAACATTAATATTATATAAAATATTCATTTCCCTAAAATTACAATGTTTATATGACTATAAATAAAGTATAAACACTACTTTTTCAACAAGGAAAGTTGATCCAAATGTATCGTTTGCTCAATAATGTGGGTTTAATTCGCTTCTATCATTTTTCATTTCGTGGGTCCCAGCCATCATCATTTCTCCCCTCCCCACATTCAGTAAGTGGGACCAACAAATACAATCACATTTTTATTTTTATTTTTCATTAACTTCTGTAACAAATGACACCAAGTAAAATAGAAGAAAATTAAAATAGACTTATAATTTTTTAATTTTACATATAACATACCAATATTTAAAATAAAAATCAACATCAAAATATGTTACTCTTAAGACAACTACTTTATGTCCCGAAAATCATTTTACTTTAATCCAAAATAAATAAATAGAAAGTTAATTGTCATAAAAGATAATTTAGTAAAAACTGAAAATAGATCTTTTTAATAATCAACATAAAGACAAAATCAATCTCAGTTCATAAGATTTTTTAATTTACTGCCATTTACAAGGTATAACAAGTACCAAGTAACAGAAAACTAATAAATGAAAAAGATTATATTTTGAGTTTGCGAATCCTCAATCATAACTGTATGACATTTTTGGTATATTCAGCCACACATGGAAAATCGCCTTAAGACATTTCGTGTGTGTGGTTGTAACTTTTGTGGATTGAAAATACAAAACTGTTTATTATTATAGACATAGTTAGAAATAAAATCTAAAAGAAGGGATGATGAAGGGTAGGGAAATGTGTGGCTGAATGGATTAAGTCAGACAATATTAATGTATCAAGTCAAAAAGAAACAGCCATGCCCCTAATGAAGTTAATACCTAACAGTAACACGGGTGTTTCTTTATGATTTTATGCATAAATTTACTACTGTTTTTGTATTTAAATTTTAAATAAAAGGATAAATAGAGAATTGATCACATACAGCCAAAGCATCGTAGTGGAGTCCATCATATATCAACATAACTCTTTCAGGATACTTCTTTTCCTGTCAAATAATTATTATACTTCAAAGATGGATACATCTACAGGGATTTTAAAAAATGAAAAATAAAAAAAATATGATTATTTAAAAAGCTAATGCTAATCTAACCTGTCCATACAAGTCGCATCTTGATGTTTGTATATCATATGCTGCTATTTCACGTCCATAGAAATCCGCTAATATTGAAAGCTCTATCGCACCTTCATAACCATATCATATTCATAAGGTTTAAAAAGTTACAAGATGATGTGCTTGCTAAAAGAGCCAGATTGAAATAATGATATCATGAAATCCATGGATTTAGTTAGGGTTATATTTCAAGCAAAGTTAGAAGGAAAGAAATCTTGAGTATCATATATGATTTGTATTTGTTTTTATGAATTAGCATGAGCTGGTTTAAGGGTTTACAAACACATGTGTTGGGGTCCTAAGGATGATGTGAAAATATGAAAATCCATGGCACATCATATAGCATGAGTTGTGATTGTTTTTTAGAAATTGTTATTCATTTGTGTTAGGTTTTTAGTCTATCTATCTAAATTCTAATTAAGCCGTTTTAATCAACTTAAGACTGCAGAACTGAACTGAATTTGTTAGGGGTAGGGTAGGTCTAAGTTGAAGATATTAAATCTATACTTAAAACATGTCATAAATCATGAGCAAGTTTTTTTTCACCAATAATGAATAATCTTTTGTAGAAACTTTGCATGAGTTATGGTGAAACTTAGAACCCATCATAGGTTTAACATGTTGCAATAAGATCTCAAAATGTTATTTTTATGCATGAAAGATGGTATGTATATTGAATTATTCAATGTGTAATGAAAACTGTTTATTCAAAACCAGCCACTATGACAATAAATTAACTACACATTCCATAAATATAAGCATTGATAATGATTGCAAACATCCCATCATACCTCCCCATTTCTCTGGGTTAAGTATCCAAGAACAATATTCTTCGTTAGGTTTCCCAAGAAATGCTTCAGAATATTTTGTTGGATCACTGGCTACTGCAGCAGCTATAACCTTTAAAAATACAATCCAACCACAAGATTCTTCATCAGATTTACCAATAATGTTTCTGATTTATCATCATCAGGATATACATGGCCAATCAAAAGTTGAAAAATAATCAATAATTAACATATATGAAACAAATGGTTGAATCTAACCTGTCTCAGTTCTGGAGCCTTCTTTTTGTCATGGTCCATGACATACCTATACATACAAACAACCAAGAATGGAGTCAAGATCAATAAAGAAAGAAAGAGTGAAAATAATAAAGTGTATGTTATTGAGCTTCACCCAACAGCGTTGAAGAGGCAACTGTTATCTGAGGGAATTACACGTCTGACTATGCTACCTTCCATCTTATTAGTAATATGCACCTGAAGGTATCAAATATTCAAATTGTACCTGATAATTCAACATTTTGATAATCAACAAAACAGCCAAAAATCACAATCTCCTTCAACTACATACCAACAGAAACTAAAGAACTTTATTCAAGTAACAAACCATCAAACAAGAAAGAAACTCAGGCAATAAAACAAACATATGGTGTGCACAACCTTTTCCTTGAACAATTGGGAACAAGATGATAAAACCCAATTTATATACTAACCCTAATCTTTCTTGACTACGATTCAAAGGAACTAAACCCGAATTTCTTTACGTTGTTGGGATAGATGAATTGCGTGTTACGAAAGAATATACTTCAGCACACGCAATTTAGGTTTTCAATCAGCATCAGTTCATACCGTCACGAACATTGTAAAGTTGTAAAATCAACTAAAATCCATCAAAATACGACATTTAAAGACGAGGAAACACTATAAAATGATAGAAAAAGAGGGAATTCGGATCTGCGGAATAAGGGTACCTGCAATTTGTTTCAGAAGTGAAAGGAACAAATAGAGCAACACGAAAAGAATCTGATGATGGATATCACACCTTTAGAATTCAAGACACGATATTAAAAGTGATTATTAAAGTGAAAATACAGCAAATCAATATTTTCTTTCCAAGAAATACCAGAAAATTTAAATCGTATCCTTTTGGGATTAGTGAAGGATTCGGTGAAACTGTAAAATTAGAAATGTTTTAAATTTATTTCGTTTTAAATATGATTTTATGCCTCCGTGTCCAGAGTTCATCAGGGCATCGCCGATATACGTTACCGGCACTTACCGCTCATCTTTTTTTTTTTAAAAAAAAAAAAATACTATTTCATTTACGGTTTAGTCCCTCTTTGGTTGTTCCTGTGAATAGCCCCGATATCTATAGAGAAAATGACTACTTTACCCATGTTTTGTCGCATTCATATTTTGTGTTTTTTGTATTTTAGTTATTTTTAGATTATTCTCACACCATAAACAAACTACAAACAATTTTTCAAAATTGGGAGTAAAACATTAGATGAGTGCAAACCATGTGTCTATTGGGTGTGCCGGGTGCATGTGTGTGTATGAGATGGTAAGGGTGTATGTGATATATAATATAGTAGGTTAAAATCTGTGGAATCCATCATGATAATTTTAAATAGAATTAAAATATTGATTATATAATAAAGTAATATATTATTAATTTAGAAAAACTTATGCATTGTAATGTTGTCTTTTTTTAATAACTTTGTAATTTGTAAGTATTTAATTACACATGTAAATACATCTATTTTATAAAAGGCATGAGTTTGTATAATGCAACATAATATCACTCAGAAGACAAACGCGTGGGTTGTAAAAAAAGGCTTTATTCTTATTAAATCCTTACTTTTTGTGTATGATTCTTATTGAACATATACGGGTTGTAAAATCGACCACACAGGAGCGCGTGGGAAGAAAAACAGTTTGTTGACTAAAACGTCATTTTTCTTATTGTAACTTACCATCCCAATAAATCTTTAACTCCACTGGCTCCATCTTTTTTCTTTCATTATAAGATACCTCTTCCATTTATTTCTTTTTAATATTGATTTTACAAAAAGAAGAATTTCCTTTATAAAATGGCACCATATACTTGTGGATTATTGGTAAATTAAATATCAGCAACTTTTACTTATAATTTATAAGTAATCAATATATTAAATGACTATGTCTCTAGATTATTGTAAGTGTTTTTATTGTCTTTGTTACCGAATATATAATAAAGATACAAGGGTTTCTCTTATATAAGTTCAGAAATCGACAGTATTATAATTATAATATTTTAAATAAATAATGGCCCGTAGTATATACAAAACTAACAGCATGCTAAGTACTTACTATTCGACTATGATTAAAAAAACCAACTTGATTATTACCAATATTGTCAGTATCGTCCAATATTAATTAAAAAAATATTCAAAGATAATGATATAGTTACATTTAAGTTCCAAACCCACTTGTGCTTTTAATACTTTTTTGTGTTTTCAAATCAGCACATATAATATAACCATCTGCAAAACCAAAAGAAACATTGTCTTCATAAAAAAAAATTAAAAAAAAAATACTTATTCAAAACATCTCTTAGAAAAAAAAATAAGAAAGTTTAACTTATGATTAGCGGATACAACAGTAGAAGGTCACTGTTCATATCCCTCCCTAGTAATCTGTAGGTGATTCCTGGATAACATAATCTGGAAAAGGATCATATCTAGTTTCATGTCAAATCATATTATAATAGTAACATTTCAATGTTCACTTCGAAGTTATTATGATTAACTATTTGAAACTCGGACCATTTAAGTAACATTACATATATAAAAACAAAATTAACAAAAACCACATTTTGATTAAAATAATACATACCAATGAAAGAACTAAGTTGAAACTATGGTATTTGTGAAACGGAAGTCAACGGAGAACAAATGAAATTGTGACAAAGATATACATTGATTATGGAAGATGCCTGAAAATGACAAATTCTAACAACAAATAGAGAACCCACAAGTTTCAAGCAATGAAATCGTTGAAACTTTCATAACTTACTAAAACTCAATCTACAATAATGTTGAATATTAAAGAAAATAATATTGCCTAGAAAATCCAGAGAGAAAGGGAAGAAATGAGATAGTGAAAATGATGGATAAGATGAAGTGAAATTAAAATGGTACCTGCTTTATATTCCTGCCAGAGACCGATCTGAAACATGGTGGTGCACAATCGAAATATCAATTTTACCCATTCGACTGATCATCTAATGTACTGTTTTATTAAAAAACATTAAAAGTCAATGTAACAAACTTTTGACTTTCTTACCTTGAGCACATATTGTAGAAGTGTTGACTACACTCTTCACAAGCAAAAAACTTATGTATAAAATCGCAAATTGACGTAAATGCCATTTGACTTTCTTCATTTTCAACTCTCACGGATAGTGAATGTAGCAAAACCCATAAACCACAGGTGCAATTAAATAAAAAAAATAGGTTTTTACAAAATATAAAATTATAAGATTGATAATAATATATTATATACCTGAATCCCCTTGTACCATTTTTGCTACCACGACAAAACATCTGTACATATAATAGCCAAAATCAGGATTTTCAAAAGTATTAATTTTGTTATCTCTCTATAAAAATTTGAAAAAAGAAAATATAAAATTTACCCAATATCCACGTGAGACTTCTTTTCCACATATCTCAAATTTAATAAGACCACCATGTTGAGTGTTGTTTCTTTCAAATGGTGACAAAATATTTGAAGGGTATAAATCGTCAAAATTCAAAAGTATATCAGCACATCCTCTTCGACACCTACAATGTTTAAAATTACAAACTAAGTAAATAGAAAAAAAATGAAACAAAGAAAAGTGGGTTATTTAAAATATGAATCTCTTTGAAGGGTGACGAGCTGTCATTAATTGCATGAATTTTATAAGAGTAGCTCGAGTATCTGGTTTAATCATCTTGTTTTTAAGAATAATGTCAAAAGCAAGAGAGGTAGCCTCTTCAACATCATAAACAGCATGTGCAATCTATAAAAAAAATAAGTAATTCTAAGCTTTAATATTACAAATATAATAAAAAATAAAAATCTTATTTTTATAGAAAAATGAAGAATTGATTTAAACCTGTCCAGGGTCTGAGAAGTTTGATCGAAGAAGCTCATCATTTTCATACTTTTCATCTTCCAATTTATATGAACTACGTAAAAAAGTAAAACATGTACTTAAAATTAAAAACTCATTAACATTGTATACACAAAACAATATAGCTTCTTACCGCTTGTATACCTTCTTAATTGTGTATTAATCCATTTGAGTAAACGATCAGAAGTTCTTCCATCTTCAATAGAAACAATTTTACTTTTTTCATCTTTCCCATTCCAGCTACCACCCACAAATTTAGAAGGTGGGCCCCAGAATAGTGAAGGGTAGTGACTAATAGAGAATTTATCGCATAGATTGTGAAGAAAACATATAAGTACCTTATAATTTCTGCAAGCTGGACACCTGCAAAGAGTAATAACAGAAACAAATTAGGGCTATAAATGGATAATATTTTTTCAAAACACCCCTGTGGAATATATAGATTGACTCCAGGGGACAAATTGTTTTCATGAAAGGTATAAATTCAAGAAATTTCTAGGTATAAATAGACCAAGTGTACTATGGGTATGGAGGAGAAGAAGTGAATCCTTTTGTAACTAAAAAAATAGAATCTTTATAGCCATGAAACTTTAGATATTTCCTTTTAAGGTTTAGACATCCTTCAATTTTCTTCTATTGCATGACTGTTCATCTCTGTTCTTAATTTCTTTTCCAGCAACAACATCCTGGTAGGACCTGATTGCTCCATCCTTTCCAAATCGAGGTAATTTGTGGATTTTAGATAAAAACACTCTACTTTACTCCATATTTATATGATGAATTCCAGATTTTATTTAGAGAAAAATCAGTGGATGAAACAATTGTCCCATAAATTTGTAACGGTATCCATTTGGAATAACAGAGGTTCTGAATTTTTATATTTATGTTTCCAAATACGGAAATTGTGAAAAGAAGAAACAGAGTAGAGCATAACTTCACGTAAAGGAAATCAAAAAACTGACAGCAGAAAATTCCTCAAAAAATAGGGTCAAAAAATAAAAAGAATGTAAGTGATAAAACGTACATCCACGTGCGATGGTATACATTTGAGGATTCGATTAAACTTGAAGGCCTGTAAGAAAAGGCAGCAGAGGGTTAGGGTTGGTAATCAGGAAGAAGAAAGATGAAGAACATTGGGTGGCTAAACGGAGAACGTAATTTCTAGGGTTTACGGTTTGATCCAACTTAGAGAGAGATGAATAAATTGAAACCTTAGATCATGAAAAAAAAGGACTGAGGTGATTCAACCGAAGCAGAAAACAAAAGAATATGAGAGCGTTCCGATTTAAACATTACAATGTTTAAGAACTAAAAACAAAAAATCAAATAGAAATCAATAAATTGGAAGCGATGTTAAAGTCTCAAGAGTATTTGGATTACCAGTGGAGATTTGGAGTGTGGAAATATACAAGGGAAGGGATGATAATGAAGTAACTCAAACGCCATGTTATGGATGAACAGGAAGGTATTCTCCGATTGTTTCTTTTGGGAGTTCGGGTTGCTTCAAACAACGACATGGGGAGGCGAGCCCTAACCTGAAAAGCGAGACATGCAGCAATAGAAGAAGTAGCGAAACCTGTCGATTGCGGAAACAAAAAAGGCTTGGAATCAGCTCACAGCAGTCCAAGATAACCCTTCACATCAAAACATACCTGAAAAGAGAGAGGCGGGAGAGAGAGAAGAAAACAAAAAACCAAAATTGAAGCTTACTTGTATATTCATTTGTTGTCGAAGAATAAGGATGCAAAGAAAAAGAGAAGAAAGAGAAGAGAGATAAACCAGATGAAAAGGTGGAGGCGGTGGAGCTTGGTGGTGGTCGATTCAATATTGTAAAGCCTAAATCCAGAGAAAGTTTGTGAGGATTAGGGTTTAGATCAACAAATATGGTGTGATCTTCCTGATTTAATGGGATTATGCTTGATGATCAGTTAAAGATTATATGATTTGCTGATATTATGGGATTGATTGCAATGAGAATTTGAAGAATTCTACAACATTTGAGCGGAATGACTGCATAAGGGCAAAGTAGGAATTTCACATAGATGAAATGAGCGGGAAAAGCAAAGACGGAAGGATTAAGGAGGTGCCACGTGTCATCTAATGTATTGTATTATTAGAAGAGAAGATTTTAGACAAAATTACAAAAATGGTCCCTGTGGTTTGCTAAAAGTAACAAAGTTAGTCCCTATTAATTTTTTTTGATGCAAACGGCCCCTGTAGTTTGCAAAACTTGCACAGATGACCCTTTTTACTAACGCCGTTAGTATTCAGCCGTTAGGGACTGAATTAACAAGGGTATATTCGTCTTTTCAAGTATAAAGGGACTGGATTCGCAACTTTGGGTAAACCATAGGGACCATTTTTGTAATTCTGTCTTAAAATAATAAGAATGATAGAAAATGAGGGTAGGAGGATTAGAACTTGAGACCTCCTTCCCCACTCCTTATTCGGCCAAAGCTCTAACCAACTAGGCTAGAGGCAAACCTGCTATATATTTCCGAAACTTAATTAATATTATATAAAAGCGTAAATAATTAATAATAAAAAAATAAAAAATATTTAAAAAAAATTAATAAAACAAAAATATATTTTTATTGTATTGTAAAAAAACATTTTTTACAAAAAATTTACTTGTTTTTTTACATATTTGTTTTACATAAAATATTTTTTAATGTATTTAAAAAAAATACGTTTTCGAATACTATGTTTTTTATATATTTTAAAAAAAAATTTAGGTATAAAATATGTTTTTTATATATTTAAAAAATACATTTTCGTATAAAATATTTTTACGCAAAAACATTAAGAACGTGATAAAATAACGTAAAAATATGTTTTAAGATCAAATAAAACGACTTATATTTTTTACGTAAAGAAAACGTAAAAATGCGTTTTCATATAATATGTTATCACATTAACGTTTTTAAGTTAAAAAAAAACGTTATATGGGTGAGGGACCAATCACTCATACGTAAAAAAAGTCTTTAGTTTGCTTTACGTAAAAATATATTTTTACGTAAATGTATTTTTACGTAAAAAAATGCATTTTTATGTAAAAAAACGTATTTTTACGTAAAAAAAACGCATTTTTACGTTATGTTAACGTCTTTAGTTTGCTTTACGTAAAAAATATAAGTCGTTTTGATTTAATCTTAAAACATATTTTTACGTTATGTTATCACGTTCTTAATGTTTTTACGTAAAAACATGTTATACGAAAATGTATTTGTTAAATATATAAAAAACATATTTTATACGTAAAAAAACTTTTTTTATATGTGAAAGAAAAAAAAAACGTATTTTTATATGAAAACGTAAAAATATGTTTTAGGATCATAGCAATGTAATAACATAGTATACAAAAACGTATTTTTTTAAATACATTAAAAAAATATTTTATGTAAAACAAATACGTAAAAAAACAAGTAAATTTTTTGTAAAAAATATTTTTTTACAATACGCTAAAAATATATTTTGTTTTATTAATTTTTTTTCTAAATATTTTTTTTATTTTTTTGTTATTAATTATTTACGCTTTTATGTAATATTAATTAATTTTCGGAATTATATAACAAGTTTGGCTTTAGCCTAGTTGGTTAGAGCTTTGGTTGAGTAAGGAGGTGGGAAGGAGGTCCCAAGTTTGAATCCTCCTCCCCTCATTTTTTTATCATTCTTATCATTTTAAGACAGAATTACAAAAATGGTCCCTATGGTTTACCCAAAGTTGCGAATCAAGTCCCTTTATACTTGAAAAGACGAAAATACCCTTGCTAATTCAGTCCCTAACGGCTGAATACTAACGACGTTAGTAAAAAGGGTCATCTGTGTAAGTTTTGCAAACCACAGGGGCGATTTGCATTAAAAAAAATTAATAGGGACTAACTTTGTTACTTTTGGCAAACCACATGGACCATTTTTGTAATTTTGTCTATATTTTATTTTTAGTCTTAACTAGATCCTTTTAGTTGCTTTAGATGGCCAATGTCAATTGTTGGAAGTTTTAAAAGAAAATAAATAAATAAATAAAATTGGAGCAATAGTCAAAGATGGAAACAAAATTGGAGCAAACAGGGATGAGAAACAAGTAACGATTATTGATCAAACGGTAAAGGCTCAAATCGAAACCTAATCATCGCTAATGGAAGCAACGCCGAAACATGGAAGTAAATTATTTCTAAAATGAGAACCTAGTCGTTCATAAAGGCATCACCATGTTAGCCTTCGTTTGATCAACCCATTTATTACTAGAATTATCTAGTGATATAGAAAGTAACAAGAGATTATTTCACTTTATACTGAAAAGGAGTGGGACTCATTAGAGGGGTAGCTACCCTTGCTATACAGGTTGGAACACCACCCCTAGCGACCAAGAGGGTCGCTACGTTCTACTCGTCGATTCCTTGGCGAGAAGAGAGAGACAGGGATGCAGGCTTCTTATCAGTCGAAGAAGGTTGGAGTGGATTGCAATTCAAATGCATTTGACTAAAATTAATTTTTCACCTGCCTTTGACCACCGAAATTAATTCTAGTTTTAATTTTCACTAACTTCTTTAATTAATAAAAAAAATTGTTTTTAATTAATAAAATTCAAAATATTCAACTATAATTCAACTACTATAAATCAAACCACACACTCAACATTTCATACACACCAATATCATTACCTCTCTCACAAACACTCTCAAATAACCAAACAAAAATATCTCCATCTACCTAAAAGAAAACATCAAAAAAAAAAAGACAAAATTGCAAAAATGGACCCTGTGGTTTGCCGATTCTGTGGGTAAGGTCCAAAAAAAAAGTTTGCTAGCAAAAAAACGTCCTTATTTGATGTTTGAGTTGTGGATTTGGTCCCTGCCTCTAACTGCCGTTAGAGGCATTCCGTTTTCTTCCCCATGTGTCATGCACGTGAGGGTATTTTTTTCCTTTCATTTATGGGACCAAAACTGCAATCTAATTTCTCTATTTAACCTCGACTTAAACTCATCTTCCCCAACGACTCTCTCTCTGCGAAAATGGTAACGATCATATGCTTATGTGGCAACAATTCTGTGTTGCGCACATCGTGGACTCCACTCAATCCAGGCCGACGGTTCTACGCATGCCCTCTACCGGTAAAGTAGCGTTCTAATTTTTGCAATCAAACACCTTATTGTTGCCCTAATTTTGTGTGCTTTATCTTTGAAAGGACTCAAAATGTCGATTCCTTGGATGGTTTGATCCTCCAATGTGTGATCGTGCTAAGGCTATCAATCCTGGTCTACTAAAGAGCATGAACAATTTGAAGCTTTCAGTGAAAGAATAGAAGATGAAATTCAGAATTTGAGGTTTTGCCTGAAGATGACAGTGAAAGAATTAGAAGATGAAGTTTGTAAATTGAAGTTCTACTTGTGGTGCAGTTGGATTTTTTTTCTTGTTTTCAGGATGTGGAATTAGGGATTAGGGTTAAGTTCTACCTATGGTGCTAAGGTTTTTTTGGGATCTTATTGTTTTGATGAATAGGCCTTTGTATACTATAATGGTCATTTCATGAACCTTGTACCTCGAATTATAATGTATGGAATATTATCTTATTTAATTGTTGTTATTGTGGAGACTGTAATGGTAATACAATACAAGAAATGGTATTAAGAAAAGTACAATACCATTTTGGAACTTACTAAGTGTTATTGAATTATAAGATATAATCCAAATAAGTCAATGCAAATTACAATACCATTGCACATAACCAAAAACAATTGTCATTACAATATCCAAGTGTAACAAAAAAGAAGCAACCACATGATTTTTGGAATTGCAAAATAACTTAACATACTAATAACTGTTAAAACAACCAACATATGCCAGTTTCTTAAACAAATTAGACCAAAAGATGATTTAACAACTTAACATTACACTTGACCATACAAACTACTCTTGACCATGACCCTCATTAGCCCCTCCACCCTCCTGTTGACCTGCACCTTGACCTTCATATGTCCTTTTGTTGTGTCCTTTTTGTTTACATTTACCACAAGTGACACTCCCAAATTTCCTACTAAGCCTCTCCACTTCTTTGGATCCTTGAGTTTGACTTTAACTTGCTATCACACTTTCAATTTGACTGGACTTTTCCTTTTGGCTCATTCTCTCCTCCATGGACTGTCTTCTTTTCTTCTTTGGCCTACCAGGCATTTTGTGGTATGGAGGTGGGATAATTCTAGTGGGACAATCACTTTTAGGCCACATTGGCCTACCTTTTATAGGTTCAACTTTAAAGTCATACACAACCTCCCAAGTATCCAGTAAATAAAGTTTGTGTACCCACGTGTACAGCTCCCCTACTAATTCCCCATTGTTTGTCATCTCACTCCAAGTGGCTATGGCATGCCTGCAAGGGATTCCTGTCAACTCCCACTTCCTACATGTGCATGTCATCTAGTTAATGTCCATAACATGTTGATCATTCCATGGTCCAGCTACCTGATACTTTCCACCACCATTCCACCTTGCAATATACTCAGCTGCTTGTTGCTCATTCTTCTTTAACAAATTGGTTGCAGTAGGTGTGAGAGGACCTTGGCATTTCCTTTTCTCTTTAACCACATTGAAGATCCTCTTCATTAGATATTCCCTTATAAATTCCAAGCATGTAATGATTGGCTTGTCCCTTCCTTTCTCCAACTTACCATTCAGAACTTCACACATGTTATTTAGAAGCACATCTGAGATGGTCCTACCTGCATAATCCACAATTAAAATCATTGGCCAATAAAAAATAGTTGCATATCAAGTAATAAGATCAATTTTACTTACCTGTAAAATGGCTTCTTGCCCAATGCATTGGTGGTATTTTATTCAACCAATCATGTGCAGCCCTGTCATACTCAACTAACTCCCTCATTGTAGATTGAAACTCTTGAACTGTGGTTGCTGTTGCACACCTCCAAATAAACTCCTTGAACTCCCTAGTTCTCCACTGTTTTTCTCATGTTTTCATGGATGTGTCTTAAACAATACCTATGCTCTGTATTTGGAAATAATTGTGCTATAGCATGTATCACACCCTAAAAGTAAATATAAGATTGAATCAATACATGTTAATTATAATATTGTAAAGGCATTATGCATAAATAAAGAATTACCTTTTGCCTATCACTGATAAATGTGAAGTTAGCATTAGACCTCATCTCCAAATCATCCCCTAGACATTCCAATAACCATTTCCAACTTGCAGTATTTTCAGATTCTACTATGACATATGCAAGTGGATAGATACCATTGTTGGAGTCTAAGCTTACAGCTGTCAATATTTGCCCATGACAATGGCCTTTCATAAAGGCACCATCTAGACCAAGAAGGTCCCTCATACCAGCTTTAAACCCCAACTTCATTGGGCCTAAACATATGTAAATTCTCTTAAACTGCCTAGTGGCCAAGTTCGGGTTAGGCTCACTTACAACATCTATCTTCAATGTTGTGTTTGGATTGGTGGACTGTAATTCGAGTGCATAATCTCTAAGCAAGTCATACTGCTTTGAGTAGTCCCCAACAACATTCTTTGTAGCCCTTGCCTTAGCCCTAAACATCTTATGCTTTGAAATCCCCACTGAGTATGTCTGCTGAAAGTCTTCTTGTAAGGCTCAAATTGGAACTGTGGGGTTTGATTGAACTTGTCTAGTAATATGTTTTGCAAGAAAAGTGGCTGTGCAAGCTCGAATTTTCCTTGATTGAAGGCAAGTGTGCTTCAGACTGTACGTTTTCACATACCAATTCCCATCTTTCGAAGACCTAGATGCATATAAGTGCCAAGTACAAGTGGTAGCTTTTGAATTTACTGCTTTGCCCTTGCCTTTATTTACTTTATCTGCCCCACCTAACACATGGGACCCACTTGCACCACTTGTCCCACCATCCACATGTGGCCCACTGACATTGGTACCAGACACAACTCCTTTGCAATATGCCCTTAGTCTTGTTGCATCATTCTTTTTAAAAGCAAGATTCCTCCTTGTTTCAAGTGCATGCTCATCCACTTTATTCTTAAGATCTTTCTTTGACTTCCACATCTGTCCCACATAAAAACTAGATTTATGCACCTCACCATGTGAACATACTTTCTCCTTACCCAATCGTTTTAATAGAACCCTCCTATTCTTTTCAGTATCAGAGTCTTCTCCTAATGACTCCCATTCATCACAATCAATTACTTCAAGGTCTTCTTCTTCATTTGTTTCTTGTTCGTCTTCTACATCATTGTTAAACCCAAACCCGAAATACTCCACACCTTCATCAATGTTCATTCTAAAGTCACTCATGTCAACATCAATGTCATCAACTTCATTGTCTATGTCTACTATAACATCACTATCATCATCACTGTAATCATCTTCACCCTTTTCTGAATTGAACTCGTCTGATTGACCATCAAATAACCCCCCATTATCTTCATCAAAGTCTTGATATTCACTACCAATGTGGATTGTTGTAGGGTCTGTTCTGTTGTTGTTTTCACTATCATGCAACCCTTCAAATGGATCAAAGTCTACATTCAACATTTCAGATAAACCCATTGGTACATACACAGTTGCTGCATCAAGCTCATGTTCTTGTTGTACTTCCTTGTCTTGATTATCTCTTGTCACGCTTGATGGTGCTTCCTTGTCTTGATTATCCCTGATTTCACTTGATGGTGCTTCCTTGTCTTGATTATCCCCTGTTTTAGTTTCCATGTATAACCTCTTAGAACATGACCTAGTACCCTCTCTTGGCTTCCAATTTCTTGTTCTCCTCATTTCTGGCGAAAGTGATTTTGATTCACCTCCATAAACCACAAGTGGTAATGATGAACTACAACTTTCATGTTGGGGATCATGAACTAATTTTTGTTTTCTTTGTTTTGGTTTAATTGCCACTTCATCTTCTTCATTTAGTTCTTCAATGACAACACCATTTCTCTTATTTGGTGACATGAAGTATGTAACCAAGTTGGTTGTGCCATGCTCAGTATACACCTGGATCACCTTGTTAGCTCCAGTATATTTAGCTAGGTTACACACATCTTGATCATTACCTAGAGCTCTAAGGCTAAAAATCAAGTCTTCATTGGGAATCCTGAAGTGATAATATATTACTGGGGGAACCACGTATCCTAGTTCTAGCATCATAGCGTCGAGTTCATGCACTGAAAACTCATTTATATCAACTAAATTAATATACGTAAGTTTCCCCTTAACATATCTTACATTTGGAAAAGGTGTGAACTTCCCACCATGGCGAAGTTCAATCGTGAACAAATGGGGATGATCGACTATCCCAAACAACAAAAAAAATACAAAATGTAGTTAGCATATTGTGTGAAATTTCAAAAAATTTAAGTTTAAAAAGCTATAATAACACTCACCATACAAATCCAGTGCATCAAACCCCATTGTCGAAGGACGTATAGTCCACAGTGAATGCACCATTTTTTCCTTCTATCTACTGGACTGCAGTTCAGCTAAAGAAAAGATTCGGGGTGTAAATCGTTGACTTAGGGTTCGAACGTCAATGGAAATTAAACGAGGAAAAAGCTAGAGTGTCTGATGTTTTTGGGCATCGTTAAATGCGCGGTAATAAATGAGCATTCCCCCCATAAATGAAAGGACAAAAATACCCTCGCGTGCATGACACGTGGGGAAGAAAACGAAATGCCTCTAACGGCAGTTAGATGCAGGGACCAAATCCACAGCTCAAACATCAAATAATGACGTTTTTTGCTAGCAAACTTTTTTTTGGACCATACTCACAGAAAGCGGCAAGCCACAGGGACCATTTTTGCAATTTTTTCAAAAAAAAACCTTCAAACATTCAATCTCCAAACCCTCAATCACCAAACCTTCCATCACCACCATGTTATCTACCAATAGATAAAAAATCAGAAATCGTATAATCTCAAGGTTAATGATTCTCTATGATTTACTCATTATTTATTGCTTATAAACTTTATTATTATTGCTTATTTGCATATTTCTTTCATGATGTCCCGTTTTTTTTTTCAGTTGCACTAAGCTAGTTGAGATGAATATTTTCTTTCAATTATTTCCTAGAAATAACAATTCATAATAAAAGTTCATTTAACCAAGAGGTGTTGATACACGTAATATCAGTCTCTCAGTTTGATCACGAATCGACCACGAACAATGTGATCGTATTTTGGTATTGGGTGGGCGATTCTAAACTGGTGTCGGTTAGGTTTTGGAATGGTATTAGGAAGTCTTTTTTGGGTTTCGGGGATCTTGAGCATTTCGATTGAGAAAATTCATTAAACCATCATGTGTCAATACACATAAAATTCTCAAATGATCTTAAAGAACTAGTTTGATTACGTGGTGACATTGAGATAAAAGGTTGTGAATTGTAATTCATGGCTTTCTTCTCGAATGTTCAAAACTTGCTATATTTACCTTTATTTTAATTTCATTTTGACCCAAAATTTTACCTATGATAGTTAATATCTCTATTACGCATTTAAAATTTACAAATTGATTTAATGTTGAAGAAATCCTATAAATCGGTGGAAAGTTATGCTCACGATTACACATGTAAAATTTACAAATTGGTTTGATTTCGAAGAAGTCATCTTACCATTCAAAACTCGTCAATAATTTAATTATTTTACAAATACCAATCAAAACAAGGTTAGATGTTGGGAAAATAAGTTTGTAGTAACATCATCGTTGCTTAGAATAGTATTCATAAAATAGTATGTAACCCTTTTAAGAAGAGTCCAATCAACTGATGTAATGTCATAGTGGGGATCATGGAGAAGATGCTCCCTATGATATTCAGTTAATGATCTTTCTTGTCGTAACAAACATTCAAATGATTCAATAAAGCAAGTTCCACCTTACTGTCATATCTACGACCATTTTCAAAGGTAGTGCCATTTCATTTTGCAAATTACTGAATTTGTATATCTATTTTTCATTTAGAATCGGTCCGCTTATAGAAAAATAGCTCATTTAATTTTCTATATATTAACAAATGGGTTTTCATTATTAAAATACATTTTTAAGTTGCCAAACTGAAAGTATGAAAACAACTGACGTGATTTTTTACCCATCCTTATAATGGATTCAAAGCTGGTATCATTCGATTAATAGTGTTAGTATTATTACTAACATTATCTAGTGATATAGAAAGTAACACCGGATTATTTCACTTTATAAGAATAGTGTGGACTCTTCCATCATCCTCAACCTCTGCACTTAAACCGTTTACAGCAATTTCACTGTCACTTCGAGTGTTTGACATTGAGTTGCTATTAGGTGGACAATCATTTGTGCTTTATCGTAAACTCCAAAGTATATCAATAAAAAATAGGTAACTTTTATAAAGAAAAAGTCGATAAATATTTTGATTATGTAGTTTTTCCCTCATATATAGTTGTATGATACATTCTTTATAAACTAAAAATGGACAAAAAGATTGGTTGCCAAATTTTCCTGTTTTAACATGCTCGTAAAGCCTATCCTTATCACTTGTCCCTTTTTGTCAGCTTAAAATTAAGTGTACATATTTTATTTGTGATAACAAACATGTGAAAATATAGCATGTTTCTCTAAAAGAAAAACAATACAGCCAAAAGATAATAATTGTATAAAACTTATTTACAAAATAGTCACAGATTTAACTTTATTTACTAAATAACTGTATATTTTTTAACTTAAAAAAGAAAACTTAAGCATAATGGTCCCTTTAATTTCTCACTACATTGTTCCTGAAAATTTTAACATTACAAAATGTATTTACCAAATTGTAATTTTAAATAGATTTACCAAAACTAGAACATATGTTAATTGAATGCATTTTATTACATAAACCATTGTTTGGACAAAGTTCAATAGATCATTTCCCTAAACCACTGCTATGCATTCAATCTCGATCCTTGCATCTAATGGCAATGCTGCCACCTGATAAGTCGAACGTGCAGGTGCTGGTGCAGGGAAATCTGAAAAATACCATATAACAATTTTTTTTTTAATTTTTAAAACAGTTAAAAAAGTATAATGTTTGAATCACTAGAAAATATAATTAATAAACAATCTTTAATGTTAAGATGTATAGTGAGCTCACATTTAGCATAGATCTCGTTCACCTTCTTGAAGTCTTTCAGATCTGCCAACCTGCCACCAAAGTAATCATGTAAAATTAGTCTTATACTAAAGCCATTATTAAGTTCATTGAGTTAACAAAAAAAAAAAAAAAAAAAAAATCCCCTTAAAGATGATGATGGATAAAAGCATGTTTACATGATTGTGGTTTTAACCACGGAGGAATAATTGGCGCCACTTGCTTTCAATATCTCTCCCATATTCTTGAGAACCTAAAAAATGGGTCGATCTGAATTATATTTATATCTCTATAGTCTATTGGGTGAAATGGGTGTGGGGACTATACTATGCATTATGCAAATGGATAAATTACCTGCTCTGTTTGTTCTTCCACGGTGTCTGAGACAAACTTTCCAGTCTACACAAGTACCAAAACATAATTATGAATACACTCGAATGGATTAAACAGTTAAAAGAGACAGAGAGCAAAAGGCTGATTAAGAAAGCATTTGCAAATTGCAAATAGTGAAAAAGAATGTGAACCTCTGGAATAAGACCAAGGACACCGGATACAAATACTGTATTATTGGCCTTTATGGCTTGGGAATAGGGACCCAAAGCTGCTGGAGCCTTGTCCGTTTTAACAGCCTCCTTTATACCTGCATCCAAATATCCAACATGTTTACTCAATACCCATTCTTCAATCCTTGCCTCTTTTTTTTCTTGACTAGTATTCGTTATTGTTTTAATCTAGCTCTTTCCCAACAAATTTAATCTCGATCTTCTGTGGTTTACTGATTTGCTACCACTCGTTTCCACAAAAAACATATACAGAGCACGAGGTATCTCTAAAATGAACTGGATTCAGCATAATCGAGGACATGAAATGAACAAAAAACTGGCGTTTCGTTGACTCAAAATATAATTCTGATTTCAGTCATGGTGTTATAACTTATACGCTTAATGTGATCAACAAACACTTTAATTCACCCTTGAACTCGAAAAAGTGACAGTTTGAAGTCCAATATCAAAGCGTAGTTCCTTTTCGGCAGGATGTAATAACTTCTAAATGGAAAACTACTTAAATTTTTCTCAATGACTCAAATGCATTGATAAACAAAAGAAATAGAATATTTCAATCAATCAGATATCAAACATTACTCACTAGCGTCAGTAGAAACGGCCAAGCAAGCAAAGGACTTAGATCGGCGGGAGTAACACGGTATAGACGATCTCCGAATGGTTGAGCCCACAGATGAGCTGCATCTTAAGCCAGGAGAAACTGGAATACGGTGGCGGAGTCCGCCAATGCCAATCGCCGGATCATTTAACGAAATCGCCAAGGCGGAAACGGAGGACGCCATTTTTTTCTTATCGCCGCCGCTCAGTGATAAAAGTCTAAAATGGTCAGCACTCAGCACCCAACAATGACATCGAGAGAGCTACAAAAACTAGTCTGCTTGTAGTTTGGGCTTATGGTGATTTTGGCCCAAAATTTGAAAGAATAAAAATCTGTTTTATATATATTTGCTATTGACGTTACGTTTGGTGTCCACATATCATATTTATTTCGAGCAAATAAATGAAAAAAACCACGAGGGCTCCACATGACGGATGTGGTATTTATGTATATGAAATGGTTGAGTTTAAAAGAAAACGACATATAATTTTTTTTTTTCCTAAAAATATCTGCTATCCATAAGTTTTAACAAAAGGTTGACATACAACTTTTTTGGTTAACATGCATTATCTTTGTCGTACATTTATAATTTATAAAATAAAAGATAAATGGCAAAATACAAAGTAATGGACAGATGATTTATAATATACTAACAACACTGTTGAACGAATTTTAATCAATCGTGGAATCAATGGCC